TTGTTGTTGTTGTTATGTACCATTGCATTGGACCCAACTCATAGCAACCCCTCCTTGGGTTTCTGAGGTGGTATCATTACGGGAGTAGATTGCCCAACTTTCCTTCCGAGGAGTGGCTGGTGGGTTTGAACTGCCAGCCTTCTGGTTAGCAGTCAAGTGCTTTAGGCACTACGCCACCAGAGCTCCTATTCTTCATGTATTACTATTATTTTTCATATCATAGTATGATATGTATCATAATATGTATTATAAATATGTTGCTTTCTTTTTCACACTTGTGGTAGTTGGTTCAGCAGTCTCACTTTTATTTTCTAGATGTATGTATATAAACCCTAGTTCAATTTTTAAAATTCAATTAAACTGGTAAAAACCAGTTTGAATCACTTCTGGTAATCATAGTGAGAAACCTTGGCTCTGTAATCCTGTCCTAGCCTTCTTCATTTTATTAAATGGTACCTCTATTCACTCAGTTACTTAAGCCAAAGCATAAGTAAGAGTTGTTCTTGATTCCTACCCTTCCTTCACATGCCCAATACTCATCTCATCAACAAAGTGTTGTCAATTCTATCTTCTAAACAAACTTTAAAACTATTTACTTTTACATCACAATGGTTTCTTAGTCTAAACCACCAATATCTTTTACTGTGGGGAATTATAATAGCCACATAGCAGTTTCTTTCATTTCTTCTTTGTCCACCCCTTCCCCTCTTATTTTTTTTAATAGCTTTATTAATGTAGAATTGACAAACAATAATCTGAGCTCATTTAAAATGTATACTTTGACAAGTTTTGACAGATATGAACATATTCATCATTCCCAGTACTTTATCCGGGCATCTTTATAATCCTCCCTCCTGCCACTTTACATTCTCTACCCCTATTTCCATCTGCTCGTCTACTGTCTTTATAGGTTAATTTATATGTATATAGTGTCATTCGGGAGCTCTGGTAGCATAGTGGCTAAGGCACTTGACTGCTAACCAGATGGCTGGCGGTTCAAACCCACCAGCCACTCCTTGGAA